CAGGTACAAATAACTGGGGGGACACACGAGGCTGCCGAAAACAGCGGCACAGCCCGCCGTTACCGGCCGCTAAACGATCTGAAGGGTTTCCTTCGCTATCCCGGGAAAATTAACACCAACGTTAAAACGGAGATTTCTTCAATGGAGTTCGGAGTGCGCCCCTTTTAAGGTTTATCAGCGGGTAACTGCAGGCTGTCAGCGTACATTTTAACCTTCAGTGTGGAGATGTTCTTATTGTGTGCACATATGTGAATATCAAAACGCCTTTTCGTGTCTACGATTAAAATAAATATGTCATATGAAACAATAAAAGGGGAGAACATGTCCGCCAGCATTTAAACGTTTCATCTTTATAATCCGAAGCATCCGCACGGAGTGGTGTAGTCTGACGTTTACAGGAAAACCACAAATGCATCTTCACATTTATACAAACGAGCTTTCTTTACAAAAGATGGTGTATATTTATAAGAAGGTAAACTGACAGCTGGTCTCTGTGTGAAATGAAAATGATGATGGACTCTGCTTTATTTACGACGCTCTGTTCAGGTGCTGCTCTGACAGTCAGATTTCAGAGTGTTCAGCTGCCTGCCTGTCATCAGGATTACTGCGGATTCATGTCCAGCTGAGCGATGTTTCTGTGCATGGACGCTGAGGTTCTGAACCCACGTCCACATTTCATGTTACAGCTTAACATTATGTCATCAGCTGGCCAGGGATGGGGACTGATAGGAAATTAGCGATTCCAGTATTGATTCTCTTATGGATTGTTTTTCCCCAGCATCACTAAGACATTACAGTCATGTAAATGAATCACACGCTGTGGGTCGCATGTTTGAGCGTGCTGAGGTTCCCTTCTTTGTTGTACTCAGTAACATATTACACACTTTGTTCTACTATTCGTTACTTTCATGTTCCTCTGTAAAACGATCTGAAGCGCTTATAATCACCATCTAACGATATAACCATGAGGCTACAGCAGCACACAGCAGCACACACCTCTCTCAGGTCAACTCCAGGCCTCGAGTGCCGGTGTCCTGCAGGTTTTAGATATCACACCTGAATCAAATGATTAGTTAATCACCCGGCCCCTGGAGAACTACAAGACAGGTTGAGGAGGTCATTTAGCCGTTTGAATCAGCTGTGATGGAGCGTGGACACCGGCCCTCGAGGCCTGGCGTTGCCCACCTCTGTCTTGGTACAACGCAAAAATGAAAACCAGCACAAAAAGCGGTCGCCACGGTGATTCTGAGCAGGTAGAGGAGGCTGCAGCCTGACGGCTCATCTGTTTGTTACCTGGTGCACCCTGGGTTCTTGGCTAGCTTAGCATTAACACGCTGTCTGTGCAGTTGCTTGTAAAGAGTGAAGTTGTGTTAGCAGCAGACTGCAGTTTGCATCTCGCCCTTTTGTGCAATAAAATAAAAGTGACGTGCATCTCCACGCTGGAGACTGCACTGCCGTTTTCCTCCTCCGACACGCCAACTAAAATCAGCTGATCATAGCACGAGTGCAAGAACCGATAAGCGGGATCGATAGCTCAACGACCAGGAGGAATGGAGTTTTCCGAGTCGGGAACAGCGCCCTCTGCTATGTGAAGTGTTTCCCAGGCGCTGCCTGTAATAACTTGCGCCCTCTTCTTGTCTGTGCAGCTGCAACTCTCCGTTATGATTGGCTCTGACTGACGGTGTCAGCTCCTCATCCACGATTGCGGGGAGTGTCACCATGACAGCAGGTGAGGCCTCGGCATGCTCAGAATCTTTTACTCAGGGCAGCTTAGCATGATTCAGGGCTCGAAGTCATACTCCTCTATCCTAACATCATCTGAAAGTTACAAGTTACTGTAGCCCCTCCCCTTTAGACAGCTGGCTTCTGATTGGCTGACCCTCACAGGCATCTGTATGGTGCTTATGATGTCATATAGATCCAGGAGTAGAAAAGTCTTAAACGGTCCTCACTGTTCATCCTCCAGCAGTAACCATGGAAACGTGTTTCCGTGATGTTGTTTCCACACCCTTACAGAATAACGCAGCGAGCCCGCTGAGGTCATCCATTCATTAATGTTGATTGATTACTGATCGATCCGGCCCAGAGCTGAAACCAGGTCATGTGACAGCTCGTCAGTAGCTGGATGTAAATGCAGAACGAACCTAATCTGTGACGGTCAGCCGGGGTCAAAGGTGAGACGCTGCACCAAACGCTGCTTCCTGTGATTGCCCTCTGCAGCGCTGTCACCACCAGTGGGCGGAGTTTCCCAGTAACTGAGCGTGTGAGTCGTTGTTGGCGTCCTCCAGGCTGTGAGAGCACGTTCTCACGGGGACACAGAGTTATGTTGGGATTGGTCCGACTCAGCCGGAGCGTGGGAACCACGGTGGATCCAGACGCGTCTCACTGAAGCATTCCCAGGTTCAGCTTTCCATTTAATCTCGAATCTGACGGCGAGTGGAGGAAGCTCGTTGTACCGTCGGCCGTTTCCCGTGGTTACGGCAGCCTCGCTTCACTCTCTCTTTGGATGCTGAGTCTGCGTCGGGAGGCGGGGCTGCTTCGATGTGAAGCTGATCGTTTAGATTTAAACTCCGATCTCACGGTTGCACCACGGCTCTCCTGGACCAATCAGAGGCAGTGTGGAGTCACACGGTGTGCTGTGCTGTTGGACGGCGATGGCGATGGAGCCCTGAGGCAGGTGCTCTCCCACCGCCGTTGCAGAGCTGCGTGCTGAACGTGACGCTCTGCAGCTTCCTTCGGTCCCGCAGACATGCAGAGGGAGCCTGTTGCTAGGCAACACCAGCAGGACTGCGGCGCCGATGGAAAGCTCAGTGAGTGACGCCGGGCTCACAGGTGAGCTCGCTGGTCCAACCTCCAGCCGATGCACAGCGTCTGCTCCGACAGGCCCGTCAGGACCTCGGGTGTAATGGAGACGTCTGAGCGCTGCGTTCGAACAGCTGGAGCGGCAGCGGCGTGGACGTACGTGGATCAAACACGTGTTAGCGCACTCTGACCCGGACGACCCCGATCACCTCGTGTTCAGGCTGAGGAGGCAGTCTCAGATGACGGAGAGCTTTTTACGATGTTGGCTCAACTGTGCGTGTGCATCGGGGTCGATCACCGCGGTGTCGGCCATGTTTGATATCTGGATACAGTCAGGTGACAGGAACAGGAACCCCACAGTGCTCACCTGTCCTGTTCAACCACCTGAGGACTGACGTAGCGACGCCAAGCCGGCGACCGTGCGGTAAAACCCGGCGCTCCGTCTTCGAGACGTGACCTGTGGCGCTGAGTTTCTGGCACGCTGCTCTGACCTTTTATTACCGAGTGTTTCTGACATCGAGCGAGTGGTCGGCGAGCTCTGACCACATTCCTGCATCGCTGCACGGATGCCGTCAGGAATCGTGGCAGAGCGGGGCTGCAGGACATTTCCTCTTTAAGGGAGGGCGTGACCTAAAACTGCAGCGCTGACCGACGTGTTTGGAGGTGTGGCTGCGGTGGAGGGTAAAGAGTGATTTCAGGTGTTTCTGTGTCCCAACATGTAGGCTGCGTCCTCCTGAGGACCCGGCCTTCGCGGTCTACGTGGGCCGGGTCCTTTGAAGACCGAGAAGGCTGGAAGTGCGAGGCTGTGAAATTGGACGGTCTAGCCTTCAGATTAGCGTCACCGCGAGCGTCACTCCACCGCTCTGGGTGGAGTTTAATAAACTCGCCGTCTGCTCCTTGCTGTCTACAAT